CAAGGCAGTGTTCTTGTTCACCGCTCAATTCTCTTAGGAGTATATAAATGATGATAACACTGCCGAAAATGCAGTAAAATACTGGAAATTTTGAATATCAGATACTACAGAATTTTCTCTACACGTTCATGCTTTTCATGCTTTCAGCGAATTGCGCGCGTGATAAAAATAAAGGCGCGTGGCCGATCTCGCACATAACTTTGTTTCAGATATTACACCGTTATGAACGGTTTTTGAAGGATGAGCCAATCCATAGATTCAAGCCATTGAATGATACCAACACTCCTATGAAAATCCTCGTCAATTGCACAATACCCTTCGTTTGAGCCAATACCAGCCTAGAGTAATCGACTTTTAATCACTGCAATGTCCGGTGATCATGTCACTGGACATGCAGTGATATGTTATCGTGGTTGAAGTTAATTCTCATTTTACCCATGGCGTGACGCGTTCGCCGATGACCCCTCTATGTAAGAGGGTGCTCAACGAGAGGATTGGCTTTGACGCAGGGTACCGTGCAAGTGACGAGCCTGTCAAGGCCGATACATGTGCATTGCACTGTATAAGCGCCCATGAGAGACTTCATGAAAGGCTTAAAACATGCTGCTGATGTATTAATATATGTATGTATTAATTGTAATATATTAATGCAAATGCATTATGTATGTATTAATGTATCAATCATAAATGGGGTCGTAAAAGAACATGAAGTAGAATATTAACTCCTATAGCCTGAGTATAAGTCAATGCGCGCAAAGCGAATCCGCGTGATTTCAATAGTTTAATCAAGATTTTTTCCTCGTTTGGAAAAAATTTTAGGAATTCTTGTATTGATTTGATAGAACAAGATTTTCATTAACTGCTTATAAGCTTTTGGCTTAGTTATACGTGTCTTCTGAATAGAAAAACGCTAATCTACTACACAGTCGCACTGAATTTGGCATTCAATCGATTCTATTGCATTGTACAAGATCACAAAAAAAATCTTTAGTTTTGCTCTTTCCTAGTTCTATACAAAACTCAAGAGTCATAATAGTAGATAAAAATTGAAATACAGCCAATAATATATCAAAAATGATGATGAGTGCTGTATTCGGTACCTGTTCATTGAAAACTCTCATTATAGCTAAGTTTATATCAACCATTCATTTATTTCCAATTATGCAGAATTGGCGTAAGTGAGAAAAGGTTGAGCACTCATGAATAGTGGAAAAATTATGAGCGGGAAAGGGGCAACCGTGTTTGGATGAAAGGCTTAAAACATCGACATTTGGTCAGAAATATGTGTCTCCAGAGAAGTATTCTCAATGTCTTTTCCCTATCCGTACCCATATTCAAAGAAACGTATATTTCATTCCTTACTAAAATTTTGGAATTTATTCGACAGCTTGAATATCAAGAATCTGAAGGATGTGTTTTGTTTTCAAATAGTTTTTCATATCACACTGTGAAGGTGAAGTGATTCTTTCATTCACACTCAAACATCTGTCGCTGAAACGAGGCTTTCATTCAGACTTTAAAAATCCATTTAACAGCACAAACTTAGCGATCTCAATGACGAACTTGATTCTTGACAAAACCGTTTCAATGTGCTGTTACAGCTGAAAGATTACTGAGTTTCAATCTCACCGCCTAGTCGATCGCGCAGCGCATTTTACACATGGCGTGCCGAGCACGCTGAGATTAAAACCTAATATTTTTCTATCTGTAATGACACACTATTGAGTCTTTTCTCAAAAATAGGCATATCCTCAAAATTCCTATGATTTGAGCTGCGGAATGGGTATGAAAAAAATCCTGATGGGTAATGCGTAATCCTAAGAGAAAAGGCGTTTTTAGCGAGAAATACTCAGATGTGCAACACAGTTTCATTGTCGTTGCTACGGCTTGGAAAGGACTTTTTCAAAAGCCAAGCACACCTCTGGAATCCTCGAAATTTGAGCTATCAACCAGTTATTGAACAGCGACGGGTTCTGCCAATGTTGCAATATCCATTCACATACCATTGGAAGGCATACGCGCCGCATGTAAAAGGCAATCTTATTTCAGTGTTGTAGCGCAATAGAGAAATTTTTGGACAGGCAAAAAGAATATTAAATTTGCCGAGATTTGTGCTATCGAAGAATTTCTGAATTCTCCGAAAAAAAAACTTTGCTCATCAAAGGATGCTTGAGTGTTAAATATCATTTGCTTTTCACTGTTACAGCGCCATAAAAGTTCTTGGAAAAATTGAAGTACAACTGTCGAATTTTGAGATTTAAGCTATCAGATGATTAGTGAAATGTCTAGAAAGAGAGGAAAATACGTTCGTCTGAATATGGGTGCTAATAGGGGAGGTACCGTATCATGCGCAATGATGAACTTGCGCTCTTCCTACACTTACTCTAGCCACATATTAGGAATACCTCCACATAGACTTCTAATAGAGATGTTTGGTTCCAGAAGATGTGTTTTCAAGTTACGATCTCGTAAGAGAGGCGAAACAAAAGCACAATACGGGTTGAAAGTTAATTTATTTTTTTACAAGAACGAGGTATGACCGCTGAAAAGTGAAGAATTTCAAGAGGAATGATCGCTCTTTATATCAGAAATCTTTGTAAAAGGTTTATTCGTAATACTTCATCCTTCATGTGACGATGAGGTACCTCTGACATATAAACTTCACCTATAATTACCAATGGAAAGCCTATGACGTCTAAGCGGCGGTGTAACATTTTAGGCGTGAAAGATCTTCTTTTTGCTCTTACAACTTCCTAAATAGCCCGTAAAAAAAACCAACTGAATTATCAGAGTTCTGGAGAATTAAGCTGTCTAATAATTAACAAAACTTTATTGAAGAGCCATGTCAAAGCTCCAGTCAAGCAAATGAAGGAAGTTGAACGTGAGACATAGTCTTATTTTCGCTGCAACGTAATTAAAAGTCTATAAATCGCAAAGATTTAAGCTTTAGAATGATTATTAGATGTCTTGGAGAAACTCTTACGCAGCGAGAAAGGCCTCCAAACAATCGTGCACTACAGCTGATAAACGTCGTCCTTTAGGGGTTAATTTGTTCCCTTATAATCGAAAAGTGCAGCTTCTGCTCAACTAAGCAAGCTCACTAGCATCATGAGCATTTCTTGAACTTTCGAATGACTACAAAAGCATAGATAAAATAAGAAAACAATGTTCAACAACGGTTGGAAACAAATTCCTTTTTCAAGGATGAGTTTTCCACAAGAAAACATGAAGAGGTTTCAACAAGTGCCTGTTCATTTTACTGAAATTGCCTCTAGAAAGATTTGTATGTGATATTCCATGCCTCTGCTGGCGATAAAATTCCTCTAACACATAAACTTCACATATAGTTAGTAATAAATCGGCTGTAACGTTCAAACGTTGGGGTAATTACATTGAGCGTAAAATGTAATCGTTTTTTTGTAAAACCTCCCAGAAAACTAGTTAAGACAGCAGAAATGCCGAGATTTGGACTGTCAAATGACTACTAAGAGCCTAGCGAAAGCTTAGGACAGGCCCTATCGATCAAACAAAGCAGATTGAATGCAAAACATAATTTACTTTTGCTACCACAACCCAAAGAAGTCCTATCTAAGGAAACAAGCACACTATTACAATCGCAAAAATTCAAGCTTTCGAATGTCTCTCATAAGTCTGGAAGAAAGGTTTTGTTCAGTGAGAAAGGCCTTCAGTCAAGTGTATCACCACAAGTACACGCTGTCTCGAACGAACTGATATGATCCAGGCAAGGTCAAGCAGCTGTTTATACGTCAAATCTTCTATGTGACCAATATTTGGGAGGTGATCCATGTTTTGGATGGCTCTAAGTCCTCCAGAAGGTAACGGCCATGCCAAGGGTAAACCACGATTGTTCCGGAGTTCTTGGCATCTACTTGACAGGTGAAAGATGCTGCCAATCCAAAAATCGATGCCGCGAAAAGAAGAACATTCAAATTTTCAACTTATTTTCTCAGAATCTTGGCGGAATGAAATCACTTAGATGAAACTAAGTGAGAAAACGTAGGCTAAGTTTTAATGGTAAAGACTACCGTTTACGAAAAGTGGGAAATTCTCTTGCCCTTATTTCTCAGCGCCTTAGCAGATTTAGAAATGGAAATGACCTAGAACACATAGTAATAAATTACCTAATCATCGGTGTAAAAAGCCTTATATAGAATTGTGAACTCAATCCACTGTTGTTGTGACTAGGCCCAATGTGATGACAGATCGATCACACTTCCTCAGTCAATGCATCCTGCTAGTGCATATTTATTCAATCATACTCGTCGACGGTGACGAGCTTCATTTATTTATTTCACCATCCAACGAGGAATTTTTTTCCGTTTCATTTCAAAGGCCATTAGAGCTTTTTTATGGTTCTTCAATTTTCAAGTTTCTTTAAATCATGAATCGTCAGTTTTACGTTGCCTCATTGGACTTTATTGTTTGCGTCAAATTCATGATGATGCTATTAACTTCTGCATAGAACGGCAGAAATGAGAAGCTAAATTCTGATAGCATCCAAAAACCCAGAGATTATGGTTTTTACAGATCGAAGAGCTATTATCTCACAGAACTTGAATGCGATAAGATGCTTCACCAAAAAGCTGATCATGTCCTCGATGTTATTGAGCAAACGCAGATACGTGGAGATTATAGATAGAAGAGAAACACTTGAAAATTAGAATCATTATATCGTTATCTCTCTGGAAGAAGACGACGGACTATCAGAACTACGAAGGAGAACTAGAACACGTTGCAAATTTGGAATCACCACGACGGGTGAATTTTCAGCTCTAGCACTGTCTGCCAGTAACAATATATGGAATGGTCGCACTTATGGTCAGATGATAATAAAACTAAATTATGATTTTAAAATATACCCAATGATGTAAAGTGGTGTGCAAAAACATATGCGTCAGATGAGATTCGAATCCACATTTCACCCTATCCCGCGGCGCGTGCTAAGCCCTTGTAGCGTAGAAAGGGTGGTGTCAAAACGGGCGTCAGTGGTGCAACGGTTCAGCACGCGCCCCCGAGTAGGGTGAAATATGGGTTCGAATCCCAACTGTGGCAAATGTTTTTGCGCACCACTCTACATCGTTGGGTATCTTATTAATCCTACCATCGCAAGAAGCGGTCAAATAAAATGGATTCTAGATTGTGATTTCTAAAAATGCATGATTAATCCTAATATAACCACAAAAGAGTTGAGATACGGACAAACGTGGAACATGGTATTTTTGAGCCATGAACTGGAACCGGTACTATGCTTTTTCAGAGCATCGCGCGCTCGCACGAGACCACCGAGTCTTTTACCCTGCATTTCTATCAGTCGTCCTCCAAACTGTTTGATAGCTGTCTACAATCATCCGTCAATGGAATCGATCTAAGCAGCGCAATCCGGCATTGAACCTGAGCTATACCAAACCGTGATGGAATTATAGATTCACCTTTCCATTTACTTCTTCAGTTCTAATTTTAACGGAAGTTCATGCTGTGAAGTAAAATCACAAGATCGATGAGAGACATTGAGAGGCAATGGTGGTACTAGTCTACGACACAAAAAACACCAGGTTCCTGCTTTGCTTGTATCACAATTTTTGTGAGCTCCCTCCACACTGGCAAAAGAACCTTATTTCTCAACATAGATCATTTCAAAAAATATAGTGTATAGCTTCAGTCGATCTTCTTATCACTTTAGTCTATGCACAGCGTTGTCTGCTCGCAAGAACTGGAGAAGCGCTTGCCACCTTGCTGCATAGAATCGCTCCAACGCGTATATCAAATATCCGAACACCACCGAGACACATTTGCGCCACCACTCATTCTACAAGTTAGCTGTTGGCCATCAGCCCTTAACATGCTTGGTCGGGTATGCGATTTCGCTTCATAAATCCAATTGAGCTGACAGCCATCCTAATAACTAGCACTCGAAATTTCTAGTATTTCTACTGCATTTTTCGTGGTGTTATGATGTTTCGATATATACCTAAGAGAATTGAGCGGTGAACAAAAATACGATCTCAGGCGGGAGTCGAACCCGCGTTTCATCCATATGGGACGCGTGCAGCCAATATATTACCGAGGCACATTTGTTCTCACCACTCAGTTCTCTTAGGTTCGAATTAAACGTTTAATTTTTGATTTTTAATGAATTTTCAAGTTATTTTATGGCATTTTTTTCGGGGTGAAGTTTCAGTAATAAGATTGTTGAATGTTATTAATGAGAGTTAGCTAGTGTATGGCTTTTTAACGACACTCTCATGATGATTCATTTCGATTTTGAGGTCGTAATTTGCTCACTCAGCCGTGCTTTCTTTGACTTCTACTTTAACCATCTATAGCTTTACTTGTTTCCATATTATATCTCTCTCACACGTGTCATCATATCTACGTCTTCACAAGCTCGAAAATTGAGTATTGGCGCCTGTATATTCTTAAAAATGGGTAGTACTCATTTCAGTAAAACTCCAGCGTGAGTTAGAGTCAATCTCGGCACCTCGCCAACATGAGTTCGTCATGGAAATCGCCCTCATCAGAACCGCATTCATACGTCAACGACCGTTATCGTGCTGTATATTTGATATTTATATTGCACGGAATTGCAATGCTAATGTCTTGGAATATGTTTATAACAATTGCTCCGCAGGCAACTTTTATATCTCATTTTATATTTGCAGTCTATCATCAATTAATTATACATTATACGATCTATTAATTCAATGCCTAAGACTTCGTGCTGGCGATAACAATATTCATAATGTTACTAGTTACACACTGCAATAATGCCTTGTAGTTCCCGTTGATATGCACGATATTCTCTAACCTTGACATGTCAAACATTCTCTTATTGAAATAACCATATCTTTTTTGGCACTTTAATTGATCCGTCATCACAATGTTTTTTCACTGTGCCGATCCCAGTACTTCTAGCATTCAATTCGTATATTCGTCTTCTTCCTAAACGGCGTAGAGTCTTCTTCCCTGAAATCTCGAGGATAGCCTGGCTGTGACGTCCATAGGGCGTTGTTGTTGACTGCCGGAGAGACTTGAGGATGGGGCTTGGCTCCACGCGGTCCGCGACGGGTATCACAATCACTCGGCCACGACGCCCATAACTATACTATTCAAGAAAATTTCCCTATATTAGCTTCAGTCTCAGGAATACGATGTTTCTGATAATCGGATTTATTTCTGATATCCAAACCATGCTAGGACATTTTGGGACAAAACCATTTCCCTTTTCCTCAAACTTTTAGTGATCATTTGATAGCTTGAATCTCATCAAATCCAATACCGTTAATGATTTTTTAAGAGGCTTTGTCAACGCTTTGTAATTCGTTGGGAAAAAAGTTCTGAAAAAATGCTTGTGACTTTTTTGGGTGTCGACCATTTTTTGGGTTTGTGGGTTCAACTGAAAGCCCGTCTTCTCCCGCGTTGATTGATGTATAATTTATCTACTTGTTTCAAGATGGAGTTAACAAGCGCGCAAACTAGGTTGTTAATGATGCGAGAATGGCTGTTGGCTTGACGATCAACTTCTTTTGGACGACCTAAAAGCAGCTGATCCTCCAAACTTTTTTCACTATCGTCAAACTTTTTGAACCACCTTTATGCCGTACTTTTTCCAACTTTGTCTTCGCTCCAAGCCACATTGATGCGACTTGCTACCGTTGCATTTGAACCAACAGCCATTCGTGTATCATCAACAACCTAACTTGCTCACTTGTTAACTCTATCTTGAGATAAGTTGACAAATTAATTGTCGATCAACGCGAGAGAATACTGGCTTTCAAATAAGCTCAAAAATCCGAAAAATGGCCAAGACCTCAAAAAGTTACAAGCATTTTCTCAGAACTTTTTCTCCAACCTATTAGTATAGTAGCAAGATCAAAAATATTTCTCTTCTTCAGTGTGCAATTTTTGCTCGACTTCAGTGAAAATGGCTTTTGGGGAAGGTTCTGGCTCTTGTTAGATAGTTTGAAAAGCGATTATTCTAAAATTGAGTTTGATTTTCGCAAAAATTTTCGTACAGCGAATAAAACATTACGTTTCACATCCCAAGATGCAAGCACGAAAGGCATCTGATCATGTAGAGATAAATCTGATGTGTCAAAAACCATGTAAATGTACGAATATCTGAAACGAAGAAAAATTGCCAAATGCTCGAAGAAGTTCACGTGGCTCCTGAATTTCTGTGTGCTTAGCGATTCCGCAGTCACCTCGAAAGTTTACGATTGTTGTCAACCATTCATAAGTCGAAAAGTCTGTAGGGACTAAACACTTCTACAAGAGCCCTTACCAGACCACATGACAAGTTGGCTCAAATAATAATGAAAGGATCTATTGAAATTCGAGCGTGGTCTTAACAAAACACATGAAATAAAGGTATGACATTAACAAATTCTTTTCTACTTTAGAAAACCTAATAGGCTTCTAGTATCAGAATTACAGAAGTGATCTTATTCCATCATTTTAATCAAAAGTTTTTCCGTTCATATTGCCGCTACGGAATTATGAGAAACCATAATGAAACGCTAACGACACGCCACCTACTTGGGCATAAAACGTGGTCTTATTTTTGCTCGTACAGCATTCTATGTGAACCTTTTGAGAAACTAATTCAAACATCAACATTCGAGGTGTGAACTATCGAATAACTACCAGAAGTCCAGTGAAAGCCGTCCACAGATCCTAGCCGAGCAAACTCAACATGCTGAGTGTGAAATATATCATTTTCGCTGCTATAACGCAATAAGATGAGCTTATTAAAAACCAATCACACTATTGAAATCACCGAGATTTATGCTTCTGAATAACTTCCGAAAGTTTGGAGAAAAAAATTTTCTCAGCGAGAGAGGCCTCTGGAAACTCGTGTATCCAAATGAATGCACGTCTTTTCGAAATGGTTAACAGAGGTCTGGAGAAAACTGTTGTGTGTAGTTTGGTCAAGATCTCGCCGTAGTAAACAATTCAACTGTAGAGCCGAGAAGGAGGAAGCGATGCTTGAGAAACCTCCGATACATCAGTAATATGGTGGGAAATACAGCGAACAACCAGATAGTGAAATCTGTGCTGTTTCATGTCAGACACCCGTCACTATTCTCTACAAGTCAGTAAAATGAGCAGAACTCGGTGTTTTGAGTACCTATGAAAATGAAAACCTTACTTTTATACTCTAGAGTTACTATCGATCATCAGGAAGAAGAGTGACACGCGTGACAGATGATGTCTACAAGATATCACTAAGCTCTTTATTCTCTCACGACACACTCCAGACCAAGGCTTTAGAGTCTGCTCGATGCAGAGATGAAGTGTATCACAATTTCCGTATGAAAACATTTTGTCGTTTTTGAGCAGCGTGGCAACGGTGATTGCTGAGCTCCTCTAAGGAATGAATCGTAAAGAATGATGCGTTTGGTTAGTGATGAAATCCATATTTTGTCTATAAAGTTACTAAGGGGGCTTTCTCACATATCAAATTGCTGTAGTCATTTCCTCAGTCGAGAGTGTTATCAATTTGCGCCCACAACGCGTATGGTATGGTGAGTCTATGCAAATAATCGATGTGCTTGTTTGAAATACAAGTAGCTAGTCGACTCTTCACCTTTCATTTCCCAGTGCTGGTTGATTTCGAAGTTTAGTTGAGTTTGTAGGATCTCATCTGTTCTACTAACATCCTTGCGCAATCAATCAATTGTTTGATGTTATAACAATCACCCACTATTATGGAGATCAACCCAATTCGGTACCTCTGCCTTGCACATATTAATTTAGAATGGTGCTGGTAAAATGCACTTAGTCAAATTCTAAGAGTGAATTGGAAAGATTAGCTATTTTCAGTACTATGTGAGTTACTGGTTTACTGTTGATGGTAACGCAACGCAGTACGCGGAAAGTTTCATGAGTGTGCTGGGAGTAAGCTCACAAATTCCGAATGTCGGCATTATGTTCATCAACATGGCTATTGTCGTCGCGTAAGAGTTATCATTTTTCAACACCATTCTCTACACGTTTTTCTTTGAAAAGCAGCCTTTTTTCCAGTGGCTCTCTTATGCTGCGCATCGTCATTC